AATCTCACTTGCTATATATTTCACTCAACCAATGAAATCTCACTTGCTATATTATACACACAACCACTGTAATCTCACTTGCTATATGATACACTCAACCACTGTAATCTCACTTGCTATATATTTCACCCAACCACTGTAATCTCACTTGCTGTATAATACACTCAGCCACTGAAATCTCACTTGCTGTATAATACACACAACCACTGTAATCTCACTTGCTATATAATACACACAACCACTGTAATCTCACTTGCTATGTATTTCACCCAACCACTGTAATCTCACTTGCTATATTATACACCCAACCACTGTAATCTCACTTGCTATATATTTCACCCAACCACTGTAATCTCACTTGCTATATTATACACACAACCACTGTAATCTCACTTGATGTATAAAACACTCAACCAATGTAATCTCAATCGCTATATAATACACACAACCACTGTAATCTCAATTTCTATATAATACACACAACCACTGTAATCTTACTTGCTATATCACTCAATGATAGTGGACTCCCTATTGACTTAACAGTCAACTCACTTATATCACTCAACGATCAATTGAAACTGAACATCTTACAAGCCTGAATGAAAGTCAACACATTAGTGACTTATGTTACTTAACGGGAGACAACTAAACGGGGATGTCAGTTGACTCATCGAGAGTACTAACGACAGTAGACTCAATGGCGTGGACATATCGCAGTTCTTAAAAAATAAACGAATTCACAAACTGATACGCACTCGCTATTATATCACAGCTGTGACATCTGAGTGACCTCCGGTTCTCGCACGTGATGACTTCTGAAGTGAGCTAACATGTTTTGTCCCTGAGGTACCTTAATTCACACAAATAACACGACTTTCTCTGGGGTTTTTTCATTTTCGTGCAGCCACTTCCGGTAAATCCATTGGGTTGTGTATATATTTGTTTAGTTGACTGTTTTCATGGTTTTCATCAACTAATGAATTAAGATCAAAACGAAAAATCTACAGATAACCGAAAAAGAATAAAAAGGATATGTTCTCTTTGAAAACACAATGTTTTTGAAATGTTAGCTTTGTGTCAATTTAACACTATCAAACGGAACATCATGTTTTGGAAGGGACTTATTCCTAGGTGCTACTAGTATTTACAATGTACATTTATTACGAGCGATATTCATCCAAAATAACAATAACTCGGACTTATGATGGACAGATCAACATGCAGGTGAGAGAAAGTACATCAGAACAGAATTGAAGGCAATGGGAAATAATTTACCTTTTTTGCAAAATATGATTTTGGTAAATAACCCCATTGAAACAAATGAACATGTACAGGACAAATAAGCTATTGCATGTACCGTGACTAGTAAAGTAACGGTTCCACTTGTTCTGGCTGATCAGGTCGGCACACATCAAAGTCACTCTCTATCGATCTCTACTTCACTACAAATGATTAATTAGTCTGACTTCGTAAACTTATCTTTGATTTCTATTCTTCACTTCTTTCTTAACATCTTTTTCTTTATTATTTTGATAATTTTGAAAACACATCACAATTTCTTTCTTCCAATCAAAGCTGTGCGGTTATTCCTAACGAATGGAGGGACTTCTGTCGTGCTATGTATACAACCACCAAAGTAAGCAACATGTCATCTTCCTCTGTCTCTAACGAGCGCTCGCGTGCACCAGTTCGAACATGCATAGACCGTGTGACGGAGAACAGACGTGGCAGTAGAAGCGATTCCGGTATTGAGGTCACCTGGCGATCATCATCATAAAAATGTCACCATAGCCACGCACAGTTCAATGTTTTCAGTATTTTTTTCTATCTTATAAATCTTACTGGTATAAAACATTGTAAAGGCCTATTTACATTTAAGAGCAATGTGCAAAGGATAAAACCATTCAAAGCAATGAACTACATCAGATTCACGTGTAGCCAGAGAGAGAGGTAACACTGTAATACAGAGAACACGAAACAATAGAACAGTCTCATCGCCAAATCCAGCTACGTTTATCAGGAGACAAAACAAACATGACAAAATTCGAGACCAGAACAACAAAACAACAAAACGTCAAAAGAAATAGTGTTCAAGAAGGCGAGAAACAACAATGATAATTGACGAAACGTAACGCCAATGAGGCAAAACAGCAATAACAACACGACGCTGTGTGGTTCCAATATTAGCAACAAATAACAGCAGATACATGTAAGAAGGCCAAAGAAAGGGCGTGGTATTGCTAGGTGTAATTGTTGTTGTTGTTGTTATTTAGGGTTTACCAGCTAGTCTATCCGTCGTTCCGTGTACCCGCGTTAAGCGATATACCTCAGAGAATGGAATTCGTTTATATAACGGTATGTACGCCGTATATCTACATCAATGTAAGGTCGCGTCAAATAGTTCTAAAGAAGGTGCTTTACAGTTGGTCATTAGGTAAATCACTGTGGGAAACTTTGGCAAAGTTCTACGTCGCTGCAGACAAATGTATTCCCAAGTGAAAGGACCCACTTTATAAATGTGGAATTTTTTATCTGGCGAAACATGTCTGGGAGTACGTACAAGTATGGCTCCCAACTGTGATCGCCGGGTACTGGTTGGAATAACTAAGTCCCGTTATCTAAGGGAGCTAAGCCCTATGGTCTCTAGGGAAAGGTAGCCACCCTTGGGGAAGGATTAGGCCTTATTTAGATTGACACATCTCAGGGTGGCAAATGACACGACTTGTCACATCACGGTGGAAAATATCCCCATATTACCGACATTGTTGGATTTCCACGGAGAGTTGTCAGTGCTTGTTGGCACCGCAACATGAGAGCGAGCCTCACATTGCTGAATTGTAACCAGTAACGGTGTATAGTAAGTGTGACGTCACGGAAAATATATCCCCCCACTCGTCTTTCTACCAGGGTACAAGTTATTAATGCTATGTCCAAAGTCAGAATTATCCCTACACATACAGATAATACAAACGGTCCACAGCTCATTATCTCGGCGAGATAAAACACAATTTAACGACGGATTCCCCGACAAACCGAGCACACCTGGACAAACTGAACTGAGATACACAACAATTTCAGGTGAGGAAGAATAGTACATGAAACAAACAGGGAAAAGCCGTGTTATAACTAATCACTTGACATCTGTAACATGTATACGTTATGTACAACTATTGCACGTCTTGTCTGACCTTTGTGCACTTACAGAGAAATTCATCATCAGTTCCGGAGAACGACGCACGACGTGTTAAATTGTTCGACTATAGGAATAACTTAGTACACTGGCATGTTAGCTCTATTTCTGCAAATGTAAATATACAATTCATGATCCAGAAAATACTCCTTAAATATCCTCAAACACACAACAGTTTTTAATCATAATGAAAGTTTTGATTTAGTTTTAAAATTATCCAACGGTAAATTGCCGTAAATCTCGCAAAATTCGACCACAGTTTGTTGTGTTTATGAAATCAAGTAGACCTCCTTACGAAAAACGATTCCTCGTCCAACAATCCGCGTTCTCACATTATAGTAGAGAAAATATATCAGCATGACCAACGCATGTTACAGCTTTGTGATGCGGCACCATACTCCAATCTTAATTCCACCAAGGACCGCTTCTATTGCTTGGATCCCTCTGACACCATGTTGGTCAAACTAGACTCCGTTGGAGTTTCGATTTTGTTACCGTACAAAACATTTGGAGAAATTATTGTATTCCTGTTTGAATAGACATGGAAAATGTATAAATGGCTGTAAATACTGATTGATTAAATAACATGATTTAATTAAATAAGTTGTTTTAAAACTGTACATTTGACAGTATAAAATTCCGGATATTTTGTTCAGTCGTTTTCTAAATTTACAATCTCCACAAATCAGGATATTATGTAATAATTTGCCTTGTATGTTAGTCTTCCGGAAAAACAATTTAAAAAAATCGATGCATGTCGTGAAACTATTTTATTTAAATTGTCTGATTTCTACAAAATATATGACTTGCTTATTTCATATCTCACAACATGGCCGAATTTTGATAAATTTTTTTATTGAATTCGCGTTCGTCTTTCCTCGCGAATAAATGCAATACGTACATTGTATATCGGCTCGCCAATATTTATAAAATAAAAATAATTTACAGAAATGCAATATCACTGTGACACAAGTCGCTATTTCAAACAAAACTCAATGGCGGAAAAACATCCTTATTGCATGTCCAGATATGTCAATTGGCCAATCACTGCCTTGGCACGTGCGATAGTACGCGTAATAATGCCGGTAGGGAACTGTGGTAAACTGCTGCCGTATCTGACAACCGAGTCCGGTTTGCGGAATGCACGTGAAATCACACTTCCGACAAACGCAACAGTTACGTGGAGTGGCTATGTAATAACGTCAAGCGAAGTATAATGCGCATAGACTGTTTATCCACGTAATCAAAGATATTCAGTTTTAATTTTACAATAATATTTGTCGCTTGACCCTATCACCAAAGGCGAATAGAGGTGCGAGGCCTCGTATCATTCCTGACACGACAATTATTTTGATCGACTATTCATCATTGGATGACCAAACTAGTTTTCACAGCCGGTTACAATTGATAAATGATCAAAAGAATTTGTATTAGGTCAATAATAATGATTTGTTTGTTTTGAATTTAACATCCTCGTAACAGCCAAGGTCAAATGCACGCGCTAACTCTGTATATGATAAAAACCAGTATTTACTATCTCGGTGGATTACTGTCTTGCTCTTATATAGCTGTATATGATAAAATCAGAATAGAATACGGTCTTGATATAGCAATTTGTAGCCATGACACTAACGGGCGCCAATTAATTAGTGGGTTTTTTATCTGAAAAATAAGTGTAAGAAGAGGACTCGTGTTTAATTAACTCGGTCGTTGACACGTGTAACATGTCGGTGATATATAAGTAAACAGTGCATAGCGTCCGATAAGATCTTCGGAAACCCTCGGTTTGTATTACCGTAAGTTCTTTGATATGCCGCTGTGTGGGGACTCTCGGGACATACGGCGCCTGGTCAAAGAACTAATAGTGTCAGTCTTGTTTCAAGCACACGGACTTTACGCATCTCAATAAACAATAATTATTTACAGTGTAATTTCGTTTTTAGCTTCAAAATGTTAAAGATGTAATCACAAGCGTGCGTCTTACGTTCATCTTCAGACACATACACACAGAGGAGAGACAGCAGCAGACACATACACACAGAGGAGAGACAGCAGCAGACACACAAAGAGAAGCCAACTAAGAGAGTGAGAAAAGCGACAGCAACAGACACACACCAAGAAGAGACAGCAACAGACACACACACACAGAAGAGACAGCAACAGACACACACACACAGAAGAAAACACAGGTATGACCACAGGTGCTGCACCTGTGAGTATGACGGCAGTGCCCGACTGACAGAGCACTATAAACTACTATTCATATTTGACAGGAATTAGGAATATTCCATTTTATATATGGTGTCATCCGTGGTCATTACTTAACACAACGTGGTGCACTAAATGACCCCCTAGACGAACAAACCGGTACACGATTATCGACCAGCCGACTTGTAAGATTTTTTTGATTAATCAGAATTTGATACAAGCACATACACGAGTATATTATCACTTGTCTGCATTACAAATACATTGTCGGGCTCCGTCTTTGTACTTTTTGAGTCTCTACAGTGCTTTGAATGTCGCACTCAGCAACAACTTACTGTTATATTTACTACAGATATATAGAGAAGAGACAGCAACAGACAAACACAGAGAAAAGAAAGCAACATACACACAGAGAGAAGAGACAGCAACAGACACACAGAGAGAAGAGACAGCAACAGACACACACAGAGAATGGAAAACAACAGACACACACAGAGAAAAGAAAGCAACATACACACAGAGAGAAGAGACAGCAACAGACACACACAGAGAATGGAAAACAACGTACACACAGAGAGAAGAGACAACAACAGACACACAGAGAGAAGAGACAACAACAGACACACAGAGAGAAGAGTCAGCAACAGACACACAGAGAGAATGGAAAAAAACAGACACACACAGAGAAGGGAAAACAACAGACACACAGAGAGAAAAGACAGCAACAGACACACAGAGAAAAAAGAACGCAACATCCACACAGAGAAAAAAGAACGCAACATACACTCAGAGAAAAAAGAACGCAACATACACACAGAGAAAAAAGAACGCAACATACACACGGAGAAAAAAGAACGCAACATACACACAGAGAGAAGAGACAGCAACAGACACACACAGAGAAAAGAAAGCAACATACACAGAGAGAGAAGAGACAGCAACAGAGACACACAGAGAAGAGACAGCAACAGACACACACAGAGAAGAGACAGCAACAGACACACACAGAGAAAAGAACGCAACATACACACAGAGAAAAAAGAACGCAACATACACACAGAGAGAAGAGACAGCAACAGACACACAGAGAGAAGAGACAGCAACAGACACACACAGAGAAGAGACAGCAACGGACACACACAGAGAAGAGACAGCAACAGAGACACACAGAGAAGAGACCGCAACAGACACACACAGAGAAAAGAACGCAACATCCACACAGAGAAAAAAGAACGCAACATACACACAGAGAGAAGAGACAGCAACAGACACACACAGAGAATGGAAAACAACAGACACACACAGCGAATGGAAAACAACAGACACACACAGCGAAGAGACAGCAACAGACACACACAGAAAAGAGACAGCAACCGACACACACAGAGAAGAGACAGCAACAGACACAGAGAGAGAAGAGACAGCAACAGACACAGAGAGAGAAGAGACAGCAACAGACACAGAGAGAGAAGAGACAGCAACAGACACACACAGAGAATGGAAACCAACGTACACACAGAGAGAAGAGACAACAACAGACACACAGAGAGAATGGAAAACAACAGACAAACAGAAAGAGGAGACAGCAACAGACGCACACAGAGAATGGAAAACAACAGACCCACACAGAGAAGAGACAGCAACAGACACACAGAGAGAAGAGACAGCAACAGACACACAGAGAGAAGAGACAGCAACAGACACAGAGAGAGAAGAGACAGAAACAGACACACACAGAGAATGGAAAACAACGTACACACAGAGAGAAGAGACAACAACAGACACACAGAGAGAATGGAAAACAACAGACACACAGAAAGAGGAGACAGCAACAGACGCACACAGAGAATGGAAAACAACAGACACACACAGAGAAGAGACAGCAACAGACACACAGAGAGAATGGAAAACAACAGACACACAGAGAGAGGAGACAGCAACAGACACACACAGAGAATGGAAAACAACAGACACTCACAGAGAAGAGACAGCAACATACACACAGAGAGAAGAGACAGCAACAGACACACAGAGAAAAGAGACAGCAACAGACACANACACACAGAGAAGAGACAGCAACAGACACACACAGAGAAGAGACAGCAACAGACACACACAGAGAAGAGACAGCAACAGACACACACAGAGAAGAGACAGCAACAGACACACACAGCGAAGAGACAGCAACAGACACACGCAGAGAAAAGAACGCAACACACACAGAGAGAGAAGAGACAGCAACAGACACACAGAGAGAAGAGACAGCAACAGACCCACGCAGAGAAAAGAACGCACCACACACAGAGAGAGAAGAGACCGCAACAGACACACAGAGAGAAAAGACAGCAACAGACACACAAAGAGAAGAGACAGCAACAGTCACACACAGCGAAGAGACAGTAACAGACACACGCAGAGAAGAGACAGCAACAGACACACACAGAGAAGAGACAGCAACAGACACACACAGAGAAAAAGAAAGCAACATACACGCACAGAGAAGAGACAACAGCACACACACAGAGAGAATAGACAGCAAAAGACACACAGAGCTCAAGGAGATAGACAGAGAAAAGACAACTTATAAAGACAAAGGGGAACAACATATGGAGACTGAAAGGGGAGACAGAAAGGAGAGCTCAGGAAGATAGACAGAGATAAGACAACTAATAAAGATTAAGAGGGGACAACAAATGGAGACAACAAAAGTAGACGGAAAAGAGACAGCTCAATGAGACAAATGGAGACAGCAAAGTGAGACAGAACAGAGACAGCCAATGGAAAAAGAGAAGAGATCATTTATGGAGGAAGTGAGTGAAGAGAAAGCTTAGGGATACAGAAAGAGAAGAGACAATGAGACAAGACTACAGGAGACAAATAATAGATAAAGTCAAACTACAGACAGAAGCGACCGACAACACAGATTAAACAATCGGCGGAATATGTTAGGTTGAACTGCGCCCCTCTCTCGCTATCCTCCGATATCTGAGTTTGTCGATGAATTGCGGTAAATCGGTTGGGTTAATATTGAGACAATTGTATAATTCGGAATCATTGTGCTCTATATATCATGTTAGAAAGGTATTCAAGCATCTCGTGTTTGATTACATATTTAATTATTGTATAATTTATGACGTCATCGTGGTGGGACACGACTGTTTAGAGTACCGAATCACCATTACAAAGGCTAATATTGTCACAGGTATTATATATCTCTGACTATAACCACCTCCAAAAAATGTTATAAATTGTAACAGACATGTAATTTTGTGACGGTCAAAATACCATTTATCCATTCATTTCTTTATTCCTCCACGTCTTGAAAATTCATGCACATGACTCTCTTCGTCAAAAAAAAAAAAAAAACGATTAAAAAATCATTACCGTAACTTTGTATTTTCATATGTAGGCAAGTTTAGTTTTCGTTATCGACATCAAAATGACTCGTAAAACTTTAATGATCGAATGGACTTTCGCTGGCCTCGTCTTATCTAAAACCAAGATCGACACAATCCGAAAAACAGGCTGATTATTTATTAATTCCGTTTCAAACTCTCGATTTAGATTTTAATGGTAATTTTAATAGACCTGCATTAATTTATCCTTGACCCCTATGGGTCATTTGGTTAAATTTGATGTCCGTGCTGTAATACTGATCGTATCTGTGTCCGGGTTGGCCTGTCCGCCGATCGCTTTGTCCCTTACACACGCTCGTGACGGGTGGCACGCACCTGTCTTATGTGGCATTTCAGTCATTTTGAATGGTGTAAATCATAACGGTCGTGAGTCTCTCACCGGCACGTGACTGACATGTGACCCAGCATACCTGCTTGTTCACACATCGTTGATCAATCGGGTCCTTTTTAATAGAACTTTTTATCACTTCACAGGGCATATCCGCCATGATGCTGTAGATAAATTCAACAAATTTAGATTTGGAATGAGAATGTGTACACACATGTATGAATAACATATTGCTTTATGCGTCTCTGCCTTAAACCAACGACGTGTATTATTAAGGTTCGTGTTTTATACGGGAACTTAGACAGAGTAACTTTACATGGAATGTATGGATAAATAATTGTAATTGGATTTTATATAGATTAAGATCATACAATTTCAGATGTTTAGGCTTGCTATACAAATTTATGAAACAACACTTGTTGGGACGATGTGTATTAAATAAAATACCATTTAAACTAAAATAAACTCTAAAAATTAATGCATCTGATGTTTGGTAATTATTGAATTAAACGATATTCATAAAAGTGATCTTGAATTGTTAATAAATACTTCAACTTATAATTATTAAAGAAAAAAAAATGCAATGACATATCAAATTTCTCAATTAAACATATGTTTTCCTTGCTACTTGTAAATGGATGCAGACCATACGGAACACAGAGATGACAAAAGGTAATTCAGTGAAGATAAAATTATTAATTCAACATATCATGTAAAACTATCAGAACCCCAACTTGCCGTATACACGAAACGTCACCTAACATCGTGTGTTAAGTGCCAGGCATGGCTTATACAGAGATTTTCAAACGAGTTTTACATCTCATTTCATTTATATAAAATGAACTTTAGGTCTAATTGCATGGTTTTACAATAGCCAGCAAGAAACTATGCAAAAATGTGTTTCTTTCATCAAAAATGAAGTAAAAGAAACCAGACGGGAATTTTTTTTTTTTTAAATCGCGGTCATCCATGACGTCATGTCACAACGTATCTCAATTTTATGCGGAGTTGTTACACTGAATCGTAGAGAATACATAACAGAGTAAACATTTTCAACCTGACATGACACGATTCTATCCTATTTAAATTGACCAGGTAAAACTTTTGTGATGCTGAAAAATTCGTTAAAATGGCTGATTTTCCTCTATATAATCGTTCTCAGCTGCATTCAGAAACAATTTCTTGTTAATTTTTTTTTTGAGTTTTCAAAGTAACGGCGTATTATGTATCATAAAAATCTCCCCCTTATGTGGTTATAGAGTGCCGTTGCTTGGTCGGGCCACACTTAAGCGAACGCGCCTGCCGTGACTACCCACGGCGCTTGCGTGACGATGCCATCAGATTCATGACGTAAACTCATTTTAATAATCTGCAGAATAAAGTCACGTGCCCTGAGGCCGTGATGTCAGTTGTGGCGCGTGCCACTAATTACATAATCGGTCAGTGTACTTTATGCTAATGAAGAATATATGAATTCTAATTCATTTGCATATCATAATACAGACGTGTCATATTCGCAGACGAAATCCTCTAGTTTTGGTTACCGAACAATTTACTCAATGTCGGAAAGGAATCCATGGCAACCACAGGTGCTTTCAAACAATTAATTGACGAACACTACACGTGGCGAAGGCCAGTTAAATGGGAAATGTGAAAATGATTTGATAACTGCGTTATTATTTTTAGTAACAATAATATTCAGATGAAAAAAAATTGTGTCAATATGAAACATTCGGATTTCTCTCTGTTGGGCATTAATTTAAACGAAACAACACTTGCACTCAATCAATAATAATTCTCGATCAAAATTAATTAAAGATTTTAATTTTAATCCAATAACGCTTCTGTTAGGTCTATTTACCTAAGTGAAAAGAGAATAAGAATTTCACCTTGAGTTGAGCAGGTTTGAAATCATCCTTATATAAAAATGAAAATCAAACACTTAAAAAGCATAACCCATATACGTATCAAACTTGTTTTTTTCTTTTCTTTAAAAGGAAAGATATATTTCAACTTTGTAACTTCGAGCTGTCAATCAATAATGTCTTACACAACGATTGGTTTGTCATGTTAATGGGAGGGGTCAAATAAGAAGTTGGTCGATTCATAGGGGCACACGCCTTGGGCACGTTTATGGTGATTAGACAGGATTACATGGCCGTAAAACTTACATCATTAATAAGAATATGAAGTAAACAAACAGTTTATAGCAGTGACGAAAAAGTCGTCAAAGGACGTGCAATAAGTTGTTTGACTCTTTTTAGTGTGAATGATGAGACACTGTAAAGTATTTAGATAAACGCATGATTTCAGGGACGTCTAAAATTATCAGTATCATCGGTCTCTAGTGAATTATTGTTACATATAGAACTGAATACATTACTCAGCCGGTATCTTGATCACATTTGATTATGTATACAAATTACGTTGCTATCTCGCTACGATGCACTTAAAACTGAACGATTTATAAGATCCGGAATAAGATTCAATAGAAAGGCTGAGTTTGTTTTGAAAACAAAAAGAAATTGAAAACTTATTTTGCGAGCTTTAGAAAACTTCTGTTCTTTGTCAAGCAATTTATAAAATCGTTTAATGAAATATTTTACAAGGAATAAAACAATTTGTAATAATCTATCGATATCACATTTAATTTCTCTGAGTATAGGAGGGCGTGTCACTGGCGCGTTCGATTCCGTGTTGATTCAGGTAGACAAGATTATAGACGGGTCACTGTCTATAAAACACTGTATATAGCGCCCTATCTAGCTAACATAAGCCACTCTAAAGCGCTTTACAGTACATATATACATTAATCAACACAATTTTGAGGAATTCGCAAGTGCTGCATTATCAGGCGCTAACTACTTGTCCTATGCCACCTGGCTAATATCTCCATATGTGTGTATGCATGCGTGTGTGCTGGAAATGCAATGTGTTCTGTTTGTAGTGGGACCGTGCTTCCAACGGCATCATTTATAGTGCCACCGCATTTGAATGCTACGGTACATATACCGCAACATCCATCCCAGACCAATCTATACTCCACCTGGGTTGTTGGAGTGGTGGGGCAGGGGGAAAACACTTTCTCTGAATATCCATGCGCACAACGACCTCGGAGATCGAACCCCGGCCGCCTGCTTGGAAGGCCAGAGTTTTAACCACTCGACCAATCCGCCATTTAGCTTCTACCACAGCTTTAGAATTTAGATGGTCAGATCCTTACCCCAGTCTTCACAAGATCAGGTTATGGTTATGCGTTTCTTTTATATGCCCACCACAAGGGTATCTTGACACCCAAATAATTCCCATGTAAATTATGTACATTGACGGGAAACGGTGTTGATGGTTAAGTTGTGATAACTATAATCCATTGTGTAAAAGACAGTAAAATACACGAGTCTATGATTTATATACTTCCTGGTACAGTAGATACGATGTCAGTGGTATCTAAACGTGGTGAGACAATGACACAGTTTATGCTAAGAGTAAAGTAAGGACTGACTGACTCCCTGTTTACGTCACCTGTTACATGTACAACCCGATATAGGAATGTGTGCATCAGAAGATAATATTACGCCTCCTGCCTAGACGATCGTAATCCCTAATTGGTTCGTACATGCCACGAGTTGACGTAATAAATGTCATTCCCTGTATGTAGTACTAACCGGATACATTTAAATTTCCCTTATCGAAACTTTTGGATTTCGATTGCATGCATAAAATATCAACGCAGTTGAATCAATGTCATTTTGACGCTTCTCCTCTCGCCTCGCATAGCATGAGGGCATAGTAAGACGCAAACATTAAGATGACGTTAGGCTGTTCCAGGAAAGCTGTTTTCACTGACGATAGAGAAACTACAATACCTTTATTATTCATGACGCTATGAACGCGAATCGGTTACATC